CCCCGCCCGCGGAACACATTAATTAACTTTTTCAATGGGTAAGAAATCTTGAATTTTTCCCGGGTGGCGACCGAAGCCTACTCTTATTGATTTTGGACCACAAATGGATCTTTAAGATGCGCAGCTTGCACAGGGCCCCCGAGATTTTTCGCCCTTGTCCGATAAGACTAGGTGTAGATCTTTCCTACCAGTAGGGGTGTGGCTAGAAAGACAGCAGTAAGGAGCCAAGGAGTAGCAATAAAGAGACAGGAGCCCAGAGGAGGGGGCGAACGAGGTGAAGGGGTGGGGGCAGAAAGAGGAGACGAAAGCAGACGACAGAACATTGCTAGAGAGCAGAAAAGGAGGAGAAAGGAAACACTTTTAGAAAAGAAAATTTTTCGGTCACTTCCTGGATTCAAACCCGGGACCCTTGCATGAGAGATCAACACCTTAACTCCTTGGCCACGAGAGCCCCTATCCCGTCTCTATTAAGCAAATACACCTATAATATTATGATGTATACATTTAATCTTGTAGACCTACTTCTTCCTTAGCGCCTGCTATGGGTATTGTTAGTAAAAAATGTTAGAACTATGTTAACGATGATCTTACAATTATAGGTCTCCATCCATCACAGTCCTCAGGCTGTCCAGGTACATGTACTGTGCAGGAAACTGCGATGAACCCGTAGGCCTACGGCAAAATTATTACATAATGTATCAACAAAGACTAACTGTAGATATTCTTTGTAATTGCGGTTACACACGTACTTTTGTGTTCCTTTATTATTTTACTATATTATACATTACGTATCTCGCCCCCTACAGACACAATTCACTAAATCATTTAGCTAAAGTAGTCAGGGCCAGCCCAGGCACAGCGGGATACATCTCAACGGAAACAGGAAAATGAGGTACCCGAATGTTTTTTTTAACATGTACTAACTAGAATAGAATAATCTATAAAATGGATCGAAATCACTTCTTTTGAGGACAGCGGCGAAGAGCCCAGTACCTAACAGTCGCCGTCTGTATGTTCCACATTATTACATGCATTGCAATATATTTCCGAGATCAAGAGTGCACACATTCCCTACCCATATACACCCGTTACTGTTAGAACACAACAGGGAACTAGACATAGTATTTGTCAACCAGGAAAAAGCGTTCGACAGAGTGAACAGGAACAAGCTGTGGAAAGAACTCGAAAACTACAAACGTAAGAGGCCAACTTCTAGATACATGTAACATCCGTGCCATTAACAAGAACAGCATAAGTACAGTAAGAACGTCGGAGGGGCTAACAAAGGTTCGAGATAACAGCCGGAGTAAGACAAGATAGTGCCCTATCACCACTACTATTTATCATAATTATATATATGGATAGAATTACAAAAGAGGCCAACACAGAACCAGACGCTCTAAATGAATTACTCTTCGCTGACAACCAAAGCCTGGCACACAAAGATGAACAAAGTCTCCAACACCACACCACCAGATCAAACGAAGAATGTAACAACTACGACATGAACATGAACATCAACAAAACAGAGAAAAAGAAAGTAAGCAGAAAGTCAGGGCCATTTAGGATATCAACATCAACAACAACAGTCTCAGACAGGTCCAAGAATTTAAGTGCCTCGGAAGTATATTCACAGAAGATGGGCGACTGAACAGAGAAATTGAAACACGAGTACGAAAGGCCAACACTGTTAGTTACAGTTTGCTCTACTACTGAAACATCCTAACATTCCCATGACAATAAAACCCAAAATGATCAACACCACAATATTTATTCACCTCAACACTCACCTATCAATGCCAAACATGGACCACGAACAAGACATTGGAGCAAAGAATTACCACATGTGAAATGCAACGTCTTAGAAAATCAGTAAACAAGACCAGACGAGACAAAATTAGAAACTCAGTAGTCAGAGAAATGGTGGCCACAAATGATGTCATGCATCACATCCAACAACAAAGAATCAATGGTTCGGACATCCCATGCGATTATCAACACACCATCCAGCACAACCGTAACGTGCCTACATAAAAAAATTCAATGGCAACAAGGCTAGAGCGTGACCGAGAAAGACCTGGATAGAGGGAGTCAGGGAAACACTAACAACTCATGACATCCCCCTGCCTGACCCAAGCTCTCCGGCTGGTGGCAGAGAGACGTCTCTTTCTTCCCGCGACACCCCAAAGGGTATAAGCGGCGGATAAAAGTAAAAGTAAAGTACTGTTAAATTAGGGGCTATTACTATTATAATTTCACTTCTATCGGTGTTCGTGGGGTACTTGTTAGGAGTTGCACTGTCGCACATAGAAGACCTAAGTTTAATTTCTGTTTGGGGAAATTTTTTATGAAGTTTCTCCATTTTTCTGAAGGGACATTGTATCCCTTTCCAATTTCCAGCCCTGGTTGGTCCTGACAGGCAGGGTCGAAGTAGCCCGCCTCCTAAATGAGCGTCCATAGGGGTTTAGAATATCTGCACTTATAACTTTCCACATCTATCAAATTAACTTATAAAGGATTACATCTTACTTCGGCCGCATTATTATATGTACTAAATTGAAGGGTTTTTTTCTCCTCTGTCAGCTCCAGAAATATGAAGTACACAGTTTTGATGGTCCTTGTTACCGTAGCAGTTTCTGCTCAGACTCGCGCCTTGCACATCCCCTACCCGAGAGAGACGCCCATGGTCGACCTGATGGAAGCCACCAGCATAGGCGCTGCTCCCGTGAACGTGACGTTGTACTACGAAGTTCTGTGCGGGGGATGTCATGACTTCATCACCACAACACTGGTCACCGCTGTGAAAGCCCTGGGCGACGACGGAAGTATCATGAACTTCCATTTCATTCCTTATGGTAACTCACTCGAAACATGGAACAGAACCACGTCGCAGTGGGATTTTAGTTGCCAACATGGTCCCGAGGAGTGTGTCGGAAACACAGTCGATGCATGCGTTATCCATTATAAACCCAAGTTCAAGGACCATTACAGGTTTATAGTCTGTTTCGAGAAAAACGTCGACTACAAATCGCAGGCGTGGAAAGAGGCGCTCGAGAAATGTGGGAAGCGGTACGACATGCCTGTGGAGGAGATAGCATCGTGCGTGACGACAAAACTGGGGAACACACTGGAACACGAGATGGCGCTCAGGACTGGACCTCACCAGTGGGTTCCCTGGCTCATCCTCAACGGCGTGCACACACCACAGGCCGGGGACAACCTCCTCCGAGCGGTCTGTAAAGCTTACAAAGGGCCCAAACCCAAAGGTTGTCCATAATTAATTATTATCTTTCAAACAGAACTCAGGGTCATCAAATGTGAGAACATTATTTGGTTTGTCCGTTCAATGACTATTCGTAAGAGTGCGTCTGTGTAGGCAAGTGTGTGTGTGTGTGTGTGTGTGTGTGTGTGTGTGTGTGTGTGTGTGTGTGTGAACGAGTACGCTGACCTGTGCACATAATAATATGCTTGTATGTATTTACCATGCTGCTGCAAATTTCTCTGTATGGAGGTCAATAAATTGTGAACTATCTTAAAAGTTTAAATCATCTTTTTGTGGTTGTAAAGCTTACAAAAGACCAAAACCCAAGGGCTGTCCATAGTTACCTTTGAAATAGAACTCAGTGATAGTGTTATTAAATTCATAGTTAAGCAGAACAAAGAGTCAAACATTTGTTTCGAAACCACGTGGAATTTAGAAAAACGAACAGTGTAATAAACCTTTAAAAAACTTTCTAATGACCGATTTCTCTCCCTCTCTCATCTGAGTTTTAATAATTTATATTTTACGCCCCAGAATACTCGTTCAGTACATTAGAATTAGAAAGAGGAAAAGAATTGCACTAAAGCCTTCTTTATGAAGACAAATCAATGGCACAGGGGTGCAAGCTCGAGCAGTTTGAATTAATGTTGAAAATATTAGTTTAACATAACCTTATGTACTGTGCCCCTTTTCAACACAACTTAAAGAGTCTCAGATGAAGTGTTCTTCTTTTAATGAGCTGGAACAGCTCATGCACTCCTCAGTCATTCTTTTTTTTTTCTTCCGATTTTCACAGATGTAAAAAAAAAGAAGAAAAGTCAATTATTAAATTATTTTGAGACTTTTATTTTTACTAAAACATCCAAACAGTCTTAGATACATTGTCTGGCCAACAAAAAATGCCACACAGGATTACAAATTCTTCACACATATTTATTGTGTGGCCTACATTACTGATAGTTGAAAAAAATCTGTGATATAGTAAGTAAGCAACAATACTTACCCCCACAATATTTGTGTAACCTGCTAACGCTTGCAAACAGTAGCTTTCAAAACCAGCCTGCCTGTATAGAAATGCTCAAATAAGTGTCACTACCACTATGCAATATCACAGGGCATACATTGCCATCTTCCTCTGCTCAATCTTTATGGTTGATCATAAGAGAATAAAGAGTTCCCTAAAATAAATTGTTGAGACACAAATATCTGTGAAATGTCAGAAAGAAGAGTAAGCTATGACAGATTTACAAGTATTTAATCTCCATAAAAAACAAAATGATAAAAAAGGTAAAATAAAAATTGCCCTGGAAAGGAGACGAATCAGTACAAAAAATCCTACCCTGTCAATCACAATTTTACTTACTTTTCATTCAACGGTGGCAGGGACAAAATTTGCCATGTTATGAATAACCTCTTCACTAGATGGACTGCAAGAATCATGAATAAATAAGACTGACCCATAACTACATGTAATATGTATATTTCAACAACTGCAACATTCTTCCAGCATTCACTCCAACATACCAATATTATAAGAAAAAACGTACACATAAATAATATTTAACTCTTTACTCCCAATAGTGAAAATAATCACATTGAGATATAGGACGGATTCAGAATTTCCTTCGGCCAGTAACCTTAAGAAAAGAATGAGGAATCTAATGGGGGGGAAAATAATACAAAAAGAACAAAGCAGGAAATAAGATAACTGGTCTATCAGATAAAAGTTTACCAGGAAAAAAACCTTTATGAGCTGCCAAGTCTATTATACATTCCCACAAAATATCATGCTGGTTGAAAAAACCAGCAACTTAACAACCCAGAAACCTAAATGCAGAAAAATAAAGCGTTGTTATGCAATAAAAATATGCTTAGCTCAAATGTTAACTTTCGAAACCTATTTATCAACCTTTCATTTTGACATGCTGCCAGACAAATAATAATATACTTTTCCAGCATAGTGGTCCCACCACAAAGAGACAAAGAGCATCAGAGAGAGAATTGAACGGATATGTTTTTCAAAGAGAAGACAAACAGAACAACGGAGATAGGTTGTGATGATAAAGGACAGCAAAGAGAAGGAGCATAATGTATTTTAGTAGACACCGAAGTATGATATTAACAAGTTCAAAAACAAGTGAAAAAAAAAGTTTGCAAATGCAAATCAGGACAGCTGAGGGCAGTCAGGGCTGAGGAAGTTCCGGGGCATCACGTAACCATCTTGTTTGTCCCTGCAAAACAAAACGGATAAACAAAGTGAGTCTGCTATTCTATTTCCATTGCAAAGGTTCAGTCCTTTTTTAGCAGAATATGACCAGTCACAACTACAGCACATTTCGACTGCCCAGTGGAAGACTCCATCATACGTCACTTTTCAAAATGACGTATGGCAGTCTTACACTAAGCAGTCCATTTGCTCGTTTATTTTCAACTGAAGGCCCCAAGTTTGTCAACTTCCATCAATATGGAGACTTAACTCACGAAGAATGACCTCATTGGTTAAAACTTCGCAGAGAGAGAAAGGAACAGATAACATAGAAACTAAATTTTTCATGTTTTTACTTGTATGAGAACTTTGTTATAGCCTATGCTAATATCGATATTTAAAGCAAAACAAACTACGAAGGGGAGGGGCTCAGTAGCTCTGCAAGTATGGTGCTCGCCAATCAACATGTAGGTCTGGAATTTGACACCGCCCCCCCGCCTCCCACAGCATCTGAACTTTTTCTCATTATTTTATACTCACTGATTCTGTGGTGGGTAGGAGGTAGGAGCAAGCACATAATTTTCTCAAATGAGTACCAAAGATTTCACAGGGCCCATGCAAAAGTTCTGCATGTTAAAAATCTCACTGCAGTTCTAAAATCGAAAAGAATATGCGTTTAAAGTCGTTGTCTGGGCAAAATGCAAAACCAATTCCTCACCAAAACTGAAGCCTCTCTAGTAAGTATAAAATATCAAGAGTGCCTTTGAAAATGGCACACGGCTGTCTGACAGGCAAGGGATAATCCTTTGTTCTTAGTAGATAAAGTGGTCATATACAGTAAAATCTTACAGTCAGTTACTCCCTTAGCTCTGAGAGGAGTAGAAGGAAAAGAAGAGGAAAGAATGAATATTAAATAATGAGAGAAGAAATTAGAAACAAGCGGAACAAATCTTGTCTCTAGGCCACTCCAGCCCTGTTTATCAAAAGCCCCAGCAGGTTTGTGAGAGGCCTTAACAGTTGGATTTTCTAACAATAGAGAGTGCAACTTTCCCATTGACAGAGTGCCATTTATACAGTGGAAACTCTCTAGCATTGGGAACACAGCTTTTTTTCAATTCCAACTTTGTTGCTCTTTGATCGGTCGACTAAAATTCTATTCTAAAAAAATTTTTTTTTTTTAAAATCCCAAAAGAAGACACCCACACCTGACACATCAGCTATGCATTTGAAATTACCCTACATGGCAACATCATTACACAGCACAGCCTGTTGTGCAGAGATGACTTTTTATGTTTCTGAGCTCATTTTCATCAGTTTGGGGAGGTTTTCCATGCCGCAAATAGGAATACAGTCAAACCTGCTCTAACCACCACCTGTCCAAGATAATCGCCTACACAAATAACCATTTCCCACTTCCACCTTAAGTAGTTTCTATTTCATTACGACTTTGTACAAATGGACCAACTGTATAAGACAACCGCTTTTCTCTTTGGCAATGGGTGGTCATCTTGGACAAGTTCAACTGTATAACCAAAACTAATCATTATGTCAAGGGACATCTATTCCCTTCCTGGTTCAAAAGCAAGATAATAGCGGCAGAGTCAAACTAATCATTATTCAGAGCAGAACTTACACATCATATTGGAGGTGGTTGATGACATCTGTAATTTGTTGGTTGGAGATTTCTCCGTCAACTTCCGCCAGGAAGCGATAGAGATCTTGGAAGAGTTGGAAGGAGATGCGAGCTGGTCCACCCTCAGCATCATTGGTCAAGATCTCACAAATTGTTTTCATGGCTTCAGTGATGTTCTGAAAGAAATAACAAAACATTTTTTTTGGGAGAAAGTATTAAAAATTCATATGGGTGTACTGATAATATATTGGTATCATTCTGATTCAACTCATTCATTACGTATTATTTTGGAGTTGTGGACGATTTTTTTTCGGGAGGTCGAAATGAGATGACTACTAGGGCGCAGTTCAAAGGTCTTTGGGGCCACAAATTCAAATAAATATCAACATATTATACACCGAAATTTTCAGTATGGTTTGTAGAATACATCTGTAATATTTATTTGTCTACTTTTCAACTTTGGTTTCTGTAAGAAGCGATTATACAACACAATTTTGCTTGGATGGCGATAAAAATAGAAAAAAAAAATTTTTTCATCTTTGGAGAAACTCAAAAATTATGTTTGCATCTAGCCAAATGATACATCAAAAGAATCATAAATGAATCACCATCATCCAGTGCCAGATCTGCGACAGACATCGGCGATCATGGTTCTCCATTCATTCCTTTGCTCGGATGCTCTCAAAAAAGCTATGTTTCCCTGATCTTTCCCTGTTATCCATTTGTTTAGGTTCCCTAAGTATGTTGTTTGGCCTACCCCTGCCTCGCTTGCCCTCAATTTGTCAGTGAGAGCTAGATGTTCAAGACCCTTAAGTCTAGGTGTCCCAAAAACTGCATTTGTCGTTTCCTAATTGTTGTTAACATTGAGCGCCCCATGTGGGCTTCATCAAGCACTACCTCATTTGATTTCTTTTCCTTCCACGATACTCTTAGCAGTCTCCTAAGAAACCACATTTCTTTAGCTTCTATTTTATTTTCACGGTCTTTAGAGACTGTCCAGCGTTCACAGCCATATATAGAAGGGTTGACCAAACATAGCATTTCAGAACTTTCATTTTGGTGTTCATTGAGATG